CCCCCAAACTAGATGAGTGGTTGCAACAGATCCCGGGAACAACATCGGACATCTCAGTCCAGAAATGTGCAGTGCTGGGAACAGCAAGGATACTGCGCAGAACCCTCAAGCTTCCTGGCCTCTGGTAGAGGACCCGAGCTGAATGAGGGATGGACACCACCCGAGGGGTGAGACGAGGATTTTTTATATACATATATATATATATAGTCAAACCTCGGTTTGACTGTATATATCCAGTCCAGAAGACTGTTCAAAAACCGAAACCACGCTCTTTTAAAAAAATAAAATAAAAATAATTATTGAACACGTCTGCTCACAATGGAAAGCAACGCGAGGAAGTGACGCTTCCTCGTGTTGCTTTCCATTGTGAGCAGTAAGGAAGGCGAGAGGACTCAAGTGGTGCAATCAAGTGCACTCAGTTTGTTCGAGAACCGAAATTTATTCGTCATCCGAGGCATAAAAAACTCGAAATTTTGGTCGAAAACCGAATTGGTCGAGATCTGAAAAGTTTGGAAACCGAGGTTTGACTGTATATATATATATATATATATATATACACATACATACACACACACACACACACACACACTCTTCAGGCACTTGAACATCCACCACAAACCGGTTATCAGCCAATCGCAGAATGGTAGTGTTGATTTAAAGTCAATAAATATCACGTGTTTATGGTTAAATAAATAATTTATTAAATAATGAGTACAATCCTGTTTACATTGATGAAAATCTTGTAAAAATAAATAGATAAATAGATTCAATAAATACATACAGTACGGTATGGTTTCACAAATCATCTCAGGGTACACACACACACACATATATATATATATATATATAATATACAGGGTGTTAAATTGTAGTACAGCAAAAGGTACTGACACTTGATAGTACACGGTACGTAATATATGAAATCCCCGTACATTTCAGAGATACGTAGTACATTACAGTTCGATACTAAATCACCCTACGGTGATGTTACTTAGCTTGCTATTCTGAACATAGCATTCTTAATTTCCCAACCTTTTTTTGTAGGTGTATGAGCAGACGTCAGAGCTCTCCCCATCAATTTCTTCATATTCTTTCACATTCGGCTCTGGCTGTCATGTTTTCACAAGGCAAACACACCAAAGAACGTCTTCCCGGCCTCTTCCTCCAGATTGGGCAGCATTTTCTCCGTCACGGTCTTCAACCTGTCTCCTTTATTCAGGTTAAACACAGCTCCCATGTACACGGCGGAGTACCAGCCGCCCTCTTCTTCAGCATCGCCGCTGGCCGTTTTCTGACAGGCAGTCCGGACCGAGTGCAAAATGGTCCGGTATTTGTCATCCCCGAACGAGTTGGACCAGCGCCTCACTCGATGGGTCAGGTGGATCATTGACGTTGTGGACGCATCATCGTTGTCATTGCCGTGACAACTGACCCGAAAAGATACTTGACTGTAAACAAAGTAGAGGCCATCTTGAGGGATCACAATCTCGTTGTTCTTGAGCTCCAGACTCCCTTGGGAGTGAGACGGGGCCACCTCATTCGTCCATTGCACTGAGTTGGCAATTTCAGAATTGTACCGTCCTGTGAAGGGGAAACGATCGTCAATTAATGACAGTAACCAGACATATTCCAAATCATCCGAGTTTCATCACCTTTGTTCGCCCTTCCTTTAAATCTACTTCATGTTCGCCAGAAAAAAAAAAACTTTCGATTTACATCATGTTGAGCATTTGGTTGCACAGGATTAAAATGTGGTGAACTGAAAAATAGTCTTTTTCTTATTTCCAATGAGAGAACGGGAAAAATGACATCAGTAAAACGCGGTTCAGCAGGAGAGCTGAAAACAGTCCTGATCATTTGAGTCAAGTGTGTTGCAGCAGCGGGGAGGGATGGAAAACATGCAGGATAGCGGCCCGCGAAGGCTAGAGTTTGACACCTGTGCTCTATGTAGTTCACAATGGAGTGTTCGGCGAAAAATATATATATATTTTTTTTTTAACGACGGTGATGTGATTGATATCGCACGTTTCGTAGATAAGGTCACTCACTGGATGTGCTTCATCTAGTTACAAAACATTTACAAAAATGAGGATAGAAATGCTGTAAGACTCATCTGGGAGAATAAGCACAGGATTGAACACTTTCACGCATCCTGTGACCTGATCTCATGATAAGCTGTCCACTGTCGTAACCGCTGTCCCTGAAAGGGTTAACCTGGATTTAAAAGCATTTCCACTCAGGGCTAACTTCAATTCTGTGAGCAACTTCTTCCATTTGTGTGGAGCGTTTAGCTATTTAAGTAGCGCCAAATGTCGACTTCTCGATCCACTTCCCAAAACTGCGACTCCCCAAGGTTTTTTTTTTTTTTTTCAAAACAGTTCTTACCTGTTAAGTGAATGGCAGCTCTGACGTTGGAGATTTGCCGAAGAGTATGATGGATATCTGTCAAAGATTGAGATTTATTTTATTTTAGTCAGTATTAATTTTTAATTATTTTTTTTAAATGGTATTTTCAGGGAATAGAAAAATTTTGATTTTTCTCACCAAAACTGTCCTCGTCTCCTCTTGACTTCTGTTTAGAGGAAATAGAAAAGGGAGACGGTTACACCAGCAGAAGTCTGACAAGTTAGGCCTCTCTGATCCTGAGAGACATGCCTCTAATTTAGGAACAACGTTGTCATTCCTTACCTTGGCGTGTCCGTTGAAGACGAGAAAGGCGGCGGCGCCAATAGCGAGGAGTAGCGTGAAACCCAAAAGCGCCGCGGTAATCTTCGAACCGTGCTTCATGCCGGTTCTTGCCGACTTGCTTGACTCTGCGTCCACAGCATCGAAAAGACTCACTTGACAGTCACCTTCCATTTTTCCAAACGATTGCCTCCTTTCTCACTTTGCTCTCTTTCTCAGAGTTCGTCTTCCTTCTGCGACTCACGTTTATTGACTGTCACATTGCACAGAGCGGCTCTTTATAAAACCGTTAAGTCCTCTGATGCAGTGGGGCGGGGGGAAGTCCGATGATATCATTCATTGTAGTGGAGAGAGAACCAAAACTGAGGAGGATGGCTGTAAAACTTTAGACACGCCTCCACCCTCACAGCCGCAAACTCACCGCGATCAACACGACCCATGATGAAACCCAAAGAGTAGATATTAATACAGATCAAAGCAATCTCTTACAAATATCAACTGTTAACGTATATTGTGGTGCATTGGTCATAGTTATGTGGGTCAAATATCTGGAAACTAGGTGGGGGGGGGGGGGCAAGGGGGTCACAAACCACAAACACATCATTGAGTTGATCGTCACACATCCGTGTGTGATGTCACATTGTGTCCTGCCATCCGAATAGTAAACACGGCAGCAATTGCAGAGTCACTCGGTGTGTTTTTGTTGTATTGTGTCACTTCCCCTTTTGTGTAAAAATAGACCAGCAATACGGACGGCGTGATGAATTGACACATTTTCATTGCCTTCAGCCCCCTCACAAATACACACGAGAAGTATGCGATGGTGTAAAATAGGAAACTCAAAAACCAAGTGTAAAATCTAGCGAATCGATTGCTTCCCCAAAAGGTGGTTCACGGATGAACTTTTCACTTAGTAACTTGGAGCAAAATGTGGAGGCCGAAACGCTGTTTAGCGTCGCGGCATTTGCCCTCAAATTTCAAAATGTGCAAGTCCATCGCGGCGCGTGTGTCAGATGGCGCAGCAGTTTAGCAGAGGGGCTGGCGGAGCGATTTCAGAGTGCCAAAGGCAAGAGATCAACCGGGAGGCACATGTTCGGGGGGGGGGGGGGGGGGGGGGGGGGGGGATGACGTCGTGGTTGGCCGCTATGTAAATATTTCCAAATAAGAGCAAGCTTGTTGGATTATTTTGTCATTTTGTGTTAACTGTTCTTTTGACGGCGGTGCGGGCACCCGCAGCGGCTCCTCTCCCTCCTGTAGTTGAGAGGAAAGAAATTTCATCCGTGCTGTCTGCTGCACATTTGACAATCAAGTTGACGTGAGACTTGTATCGTTATTCTAACTGCAGAGCGGCATGATTTGCATTTTTAGATGATATTTAATTTTGTCTCATTTCATATCTTATTTTCTTGTGGTTCATGTGTTGTCCTGATTGTGATTTTTTTTTTCTTCTTCTTCCCAGCTCTGCTCGTCAATTCAATCCCTCGTGTCCTGTCCTGCTGTTCCTCGTTGTCTTCTCCGTTTATTTGTTTCACTTTAGTTTTCTTTTTTACTTTATTATTTCCTGTTTTTGTTAGTTCATTGTCTGTGGTTCTGTTGAAGCAATGTCCTGTTTTTTGTTTTTTTTTTTTTGTTTTTTTTTTTTGGTGGCATTTCACACCCACAGCCTGCAAAGTGGAAGTGTCACAATTATAGTAAACGGAACACAATACACAACACCTGTTTCCCTTTTCATTCAGTATGAATATAAAATTGCACGGCGGCAGTTCAGGAATTTCTCAGAGTCACTTGGAACTCCCCGTTTGGCCCAAGCTTCAAGTCTATTTGCTGCCAAGTGATAACAGCTGATTATCATTTGATGGCAAAAAATCCGCAAGGGGGATTCTACCCAGAAAGCTCCCTTTGTCTGTCCTTGAAAAGGGTTAAAAAGACTTTTTTTATGGTTTAAAATACAGTCAAGTACAGCAAAGGGAAAGGCGTTAACTTTGTAACTGACAGGATTGTCTCTTCACAAATTTGTAGCACTTTGGGGGTCTATTATTCCATAACTGTGCACAACAATTGAATTGATTATTTAAGAGTTGTCATTTTTACATTTGTTCACCGTGGGACTTGAACCAGCCCAAGTCCTTATAGATGAGCAGCTAAAAAAAAAAAAAATCAAAAGGGACATCTTATGTCATTTGTTTTCTTCATCGCCCAAATAATTACCATCTGACTACTACATTCAGAGACATATTGAACATTAAAGTCACTCCTAACATGGCTGACTCGTGTGCAATGTTTCTATGTGCCGCTATGCGAATATTCCAACATCTGAGTGTGCTCCTAAACAAGACGACGATATCAGTCACCTTCTGGGCCGTCTGTGTTGTGGAGAATAGATTGTGATTGTGATTGCTTCACTCAATTCAGAACTCGGAAATGTCAAGTCAGTCACTTGCATGGATGACATTGATGAAATATTCTGTTTGAACATGTCATAGAAATGACCAGGTGGAGAATGTCGAAGCGTGAAAACGTTTTGGCTTCTGGTTTCATCGAGTGTTGACTTTTTTTGATTGACAGTGACAATGAGGGATGTGGCTAGCATGTCTCGAGTGGAGCACAGTCAGAGGTCGTGGATTTGAATCATTCGGCCCATAGCTGTAAATGTGACTGTGATTAGTTGTTTGTCAAGATATGTGACCGATGATCGACTGGCAACCAGTCCAGCGTGTATCCTGCCCCGCACAAAGCCAGTTCGCTTCGAATTCTTCCCACCCGAGACCCTGAATAGGTGGTCGAGAAGGGATGACTAAGTGAAGAGAAATATTGACGGACAATTTCTCGTCAAATAATGATAACCTACATCAGGATTTTTCTTTCAAGTGTTTCTATCAGTCTTTAGGCATGAAAAAAAAAATAATGGGGGTGGATGGCAACACGCATAAGGGTCATTTGTAGGGGTTGATGCACAACTGTGACATGAAGATTAATTAATATTCAATAAAACAAGGCGGCCGGTGGTCCAGTGGTTAGCGCGTCGACCTCACAGTGCAGAGGTACCGGGTTCAATTCCAGCTCCGGCCTCTCTTGTGGAGTTTGGATGTTCTCCCCGGGCCTGCGTGGGTTTTCTCCGGGTATTCCGGTTTCCTCCCACGTTCCAAAAACATGCGTGGCAGGCTGATTGAACACTCCAAATTGTCCCGAGGTGTGAGTGTGAGCGCGGATGGTTGTTGGTCTGTGTGTGCCCTGCGATTGGCTGGCAACCGGTTCAGGGTGTCCCCCACCTACTGCCCGAAGACAGTTGGGATAGGCCCCAGCACCCCCCAACCCCACCCGCGACCCTTGTTTGTTTGTTTATTGAACATAAAAACATATACAGTCATAAATTGACAGAAAGTAAGGTAAGTAAAATAGTAAAAAGGAAAGAGAAATCAGTCATCATTCAACACAATTATCATGTTCAAGGGAGTAGGAAGAAGTAAAAAACGTATCTCGTCCTACCCCGTGTTATGTGTTTATACATAAATAGATCATTTTTACATCAATCAGAGAAGAAAGAAAGAAAGAAAGAAGGAAGAAGTCTCCATAAAGGCTCATGCTTTTACCCTTACCCTGATATTTTTACAACTTTTGGTTTGTATCGGGATTTTATACATACACACCCTGGCACTCTTGTGTCAATTTTCTCTTGTATTCATAATGGATATTGCAGTACCTTTCTCTATTTATCAACTTAATTCTGATTTATTATTATATTTAATTAATGTTTAGAATGGATCACCTTAACTCTGATTGATGTAGGTTGCTTGTACTATTTTTTTGAATTTGTTTTTGAACTCAGCAAGCGATTTACTTATTTCAGGTCCGTTTCGAAATTATTCCACAGATTAACACCTTTGACAGATACACTTCTTTGCTTGATGTTTGTTCTTGTTTTGAATTTTTTGTATAAGTTGGTACTTCTTAAATCGTAGCAGCTTTCTCGAATTTCGAAAAACTTTAGAATATTTTGGCAGAGCAGGTTATTGTGTGCTTTGTACATTAATTTGGCGATTTTTAAAGTCAACCAGGTCATGAAATTTCATCGTGTTTAATTTGATAAATAGTGGATTTGTGGGTTCCGTATATTTTGATCCATTCATAATTCGGATTGCTTTTTTTTTGTAGTTTTAGAATAGGGAGTGTGTTTGTTTTGCAGGCATTTCCCCATATTTCCACACAGTAGGTCATATATGGTAATAATAATGAAGAGTATAATGTGTACAAAGATCTCTTATTTAGCACATCCTTGGTTTTGTAGAGGATCGCTATGGTTTTGGCTATTTTTCTTTTTACATTATCGATATGTGGCTTCCAACATAGTTTTGAATCTATTACTCATCCGAGAAACTTGGTGACAGAAAGTGCAAGAACTCCATTTTGTGCATGTTGTGACAAAAATGCAACTTACTTAAGAGCATATTCTCCCTGCGTACTCGTATCAGAAAAGGGGCGGTGCTGCGTACTTTTTTTTTTTGGTTGCACAGATTCTCCCATCAACTTCAGTGTGTCACTAAAAGTGTAACGACCCCGAAATGAGGGTCTTCCTTGTTCATCCCTCACCTGAATCTCATTCTCGCAAACACTTGCATACCTTTTCTTTTGCGCGCTCCAGAGACTATAAAAAAATCCAGCACGCCCGTGAAGGTGAAACATTATATTGCACATTTTGAGTAATTTCACAGCCACTGCCGGCGGCTGATGACTGTCGCCGGCTGACTCGGGCTGAGTCGCGCTGACGTGCAGACGGGGCGGGGTGGCATACCTGACCCACTTTATGTTTACCGACTTGCTTTCGATTTGTATTTAGTCATGAGAACTGTCATCTGAAATTACTTGGATTGGATTTTTTAAAAGTGAAGGCGTACGCGGCACTGGCGACCGTCAGTATAACTTTTAAATCTACTCGGCAAGTTAATTTCACATGTGATGTGTGCTATATGGATCTCGATCGAATGTATGAGTCATTTAACTCTTTCATGGACAGCGGATACTCCAGTGGACAGTTTACCATGAAATCAGGTTACAGGGTGCAAGAAAGGGTCAAAACTCCATAATCCAGAAATAATGGCCAACATTAGACGCGCGATACATTTGCCACAAGTACGCATGGGAGAATTGCCACACCTTGAAAGTAACAGCGCAGTGTACAGCCCAAATGTACAGTACCCTCTGCATGGCGAGTCCAGCGTATGTCACAATAGGTGCTTCTCCAAGCCATCATATGCATTTGTAGCACGATTAAATGTGAAATAGATCCATATGTTTTATGCTATGTATTTTGTTGTATTATTTTTGGTATTGGCTGGCAACCCTGAACCGGTTGCCAGCCAATCACAGGGCACACAGAGACCAACAACCATCCGCGCTCACAATCACACCTAGGGACAATTTAGAGTGTTCCATTAACCTGCCACGCATGTTTTTGGAATGTGGGAGGAAATCGGAGTACCCGGAGAAAACCCACGGGGAGAATAAGCAAACTCCACACACCTCTGCACTGTGAGGCCGACGCGCTAACCAGTCGTCCACCGAGCCATCCGTGAAAGCACTACATCAAGAAAGATGTATATTTTTTGAAAATATTTATAGTTACAGAAATTTTGTAACTCCTCATGCTCTTCAAACGAACTGTCGAGGGTTCTGGGGGCGAGGGGGATAATTGCCATCATGTTCTTTTTAGATCCGTGTTCTAGTAGTGAATTACTGTGAGTCGAAATCTTTCATGGGTGATGGCATCTTTAAACAAACTAGGCAGATCAGCTTCCATTTCAATGTGGTCGCAATATAACCTGCTTCCTTTTTTTTTTTTTTTTTTTTTTTTTTTTTACGTAGAAGACACAATTTTCTTGACCTAATATTTTTCCTGGTGAGAAGCCAAGACACTCTCTCTCTTCTTCTCTTATGTGCAACAAAAGTTGGGGTTTGAAGTTCTGGTAATTGATGTCTGCCATTTCGCAGTGAACACTTTCAACTTCTTCTCAGCTACAATGAGCATTTTTATTTTTCCCAAATGAATCGAGGGCCCCTCTGAGTGTCGGCGCAAGTCCCTTGCCAGCAGTTGCCCATCCCTGGTGTAACTGCGACATCTAAATCCTAATGAAAACAAATCAATGAAAGGATTGACTCATTTTAGGATGTGGCCTTGGTTAGCCATTTCATGCACCCTGTAACCTGATAACATGATAAGCTGTCCACTGTAGTAACCGCTGTCCCTGAAAGGGTTAAATCGACATTTAGCAGTAGCCTTTGCTCAGGCCATAGAATGAACTACAGCAATTCAACTGCACTCACCATGTGATCAATTTTATCATGTGCACACGAGACACTCATTCATACACATCGCCTCATGCCTCAAGTTGAGTGTGTACCCTATTTGTAATTCAAGTTTGTAAGTCAAATACGTGTCACATAAAGCAATAATTGTATTCTGGCTCCTGGAGAGCCAAACATAATTTGTTTTCTGTTTCTACAGTTACAGCGCTGCTTTATTTTGTAAAATTAATTTGTTATTGTGAAAGGTACACCGGATGTTATTGCATGAGAGACTTCCTGTTTTACGTTGTACGTAGAAGCTCCGAAAGATGGACCTGCCGCTTAGTGTTCTAAGCCAAGCACGGCCTGTACGTCTATATTATGTAAATATATGCAATATTATTAATTAGTGGGGTGTGTTCACTGTGAATTTACATTTTGAAAGACGTGGCAATTGTATACGGTTAGCATTTACGATCGCGATTAGCGCATTAGCTTGCGAACGTAATTTGCAATACTGTACACGCGTCGTCACGTAGCCGACAAGCGGGGCAAATTGTTTTTGCAACAGCATGTAAGTGTTTTTTTTTTTTTTTGTGTGTGTTCCAGTTTTACACTTTCTTGACTCGCTCCGGACGGTGAATAAATTGCAAGAAACATCGACAGGTGTGGTCATTGAAGGAGTTATCTGTCTTAGCCGTAGCGGGGACGTGGCAAGGGCAGAACAAATTGAATAACCCAAAATATGCTTGGTTCTGAAAATGCCACGGAGGCAACTGGTAGGAGATTTTAACTCACAAAAAAATGTAAAGAAGTGAATTGAAAAAGAGCCTCGCTCACAATGACTAATATCCCTCCGTGTCACCTTAGGTCTCACACAGAACCACCAAAGCTGATTGTTGGATTACAGTGATTTCTCGAGAAAGGAGGGATACCGTATGTTCACCAAAAATGTTCCAGGAAAAAAGTCCCTCCCTTTGCTCTACAGATGACTGACTGGAAATGTATTTGAGCTGTATGCCTTTTTTTTACTTGTTTAATGTGATAACTACATTTCAGTCATGTCAAAATGCAAAAGAATTGCGTGGTGGTCCACTCTTCAGCCCACCTTATTGTAAGATAAGTGATACTGTCAGTCATAACTACTTTTGTCACCAAGATAATGCTTTGGAAATAGATTTTCACCTCAGCAAGATTTGTTGCAAGGGAGAAGGAACAGCAAGTGGATACCTGTATGCAATACCGGAATTTGTTTGGCATTACATCGCATTTCAGGTTTGACGCATGTGTTTTTTTTAACCTCTGTGAATGGTCATGTGAAAACACGTGTCTTAAATCAATGATGTCATATCCTCCCCTGAATATGATTTTGTCATTTACAACATCACAAACATTCGGAATCAGAATAATCAAAGAGAATTAAATCACAGGCTTTCAACTTTAGGAGGTTGCACAAAAATATGTTAGAGTTTCGGAATGACTGCTGTTTTATGGTTCATTTTCAGTGACGATGGACAAAGTGACATCATCGTGAATATGCAACCGCCACAATATTTGGATGGAAAACCGTATCCGTTCAATGATACTGACATCAGTATAGCTCATGGACATCATCAAATTCTGAGTTTCCTCCTGCTTTGCCTTCAATGCAAAGTGCTTCTACTTTTACTTTTGCCTTTCGCACTCCATTGGGTTGAGATCAGGCCACTGATTTTATCTATTGAATCATATTCATTTCATTGGCCTTCCAAAAGTGCTGACTTGCTGTTGTTTGAACCATTTGCACTGTGAAACACGACGCAGTTATATCGGCTGAATATGAGCACGGTGTAAAATCCTCTTTTTTGAGGCGTTTCATCCCACCAGGGGTTTCCATCAGGCAGGGGTGCCCCTGCGACTGCCTGACAACCAGTTCAGGGTGTAGCCCGCCCTTTCGCCCACAGTCAGCTGGGTAGGCTCCAGCACCCTCCCGCTTGCCCAACCTTTTTTGACCGAAGATCTACTTTTCGATCGACCCATTACCGCGCATACGCACACAATTACACACGCATGTCATGAGGAGCATCAGCCATAACGGCCCTTAAGATGAACGAAACAGAAAAATCAAGTAGACGCAAAAGTTTGCGAGTTTGTGGAAAGCAAATCACTGCCTACCTTCGTCGAGACCTGACGTGGAGGCATGGAACGCACTTTTGCAGGGTGTTAACTATCACGTATAGCATTTTAACTCATTCACTCCCAAAGACGTTATTAAACGTCTTTTCAGACTTGGTCTAGAATTGGCTGGTACTGAATGAGTTTTAAAATGCTTCTTACGGCACTCCAGATTCCCATTCTTTGTCAGTGCCCTCGATGAATAATACATCATACAAACTCTGAATGAGAATAATAATAATAACAACAAAAGATATTGCGCTTTAATTGCAAGCTGCAGTTGCAGACTGCTGACCGCTAACAACTTCCGGTGATGCAGGTCACGCGCCACCGTACGTTAAAGGTGACCTGCTTTTTTTTATTTTATTTTTTAAATACGTGTTGTGAAAGTGAGACTGATAGGATGCTAACGGTGCAGTGCGCACAACACAAAAATATATTAATAACACGCAGACAGACAAACAAATGTTTTGGGTTGTTTTCTTCTTCCCCCCCCCCCCCCCTACACCCCTCGCTATCGACTTGGGACCCGTCTGCGAGCTACCGGTCGATCGTAATACGACGTATTGGGCACCCCTGCTGGAAAGGACAAGCAATTTTGAAAATGGATGGATGAAAATGTTTTAAAACATTATTTTGTTTTGCCTTTTTTGTGTTGTTTGTGATTCTACTTTCAGATGAGATTTCCTTGACTTGCCTTCTTACATGCACTTGCATCCACCTGCCCTTTGTCTGCACTCAATCGCAACAGCCCCCTAACCCCTCCAAATGTGACGGAAAAACTTAAATGCATTAATTATTCTTGCCACTTTGTCATATCATAAACATGACAGATATGGTCAATAACTCATCATACTTATCATCAGACTTTTTTTTTCCATATTACGCATAACAAATAAAATGACCCCAATCTCAACCTGTGGTTTTCCTGTGCATCACAACAAAGTAGAGCACTGAAGTTTCAAGATGATGATTCAAATTAGAACAAAGTCGATGATCGAGCTGCTGCTCAAACGCTCAGATGGGAAAGCGTCATTATCGAGCAAAAAACCTGGCAAAATTTTTTGACTTCCAAATCAACTCTTTCTTTCATTCTTGAGTGACAATGAGAAGAGAAAGTATTTTCTGGAAAAAAAACAAAACAAGCACTAAAACCTGGTGGCGCTTCATCAAACGCGGAAGTGAAAATGTCAAATTTCCAAACAAGTTTGGAATGGTCGATTGAACAAGACAGATTTTGAGATTGTGTTAGGAATTTGGAAAGAAGGAAACACCATCGTGATGCAATCGTGGCTGGAGAAATTGTCATGACGCAACGCATGATTCCTTTTGTGGGGGTGAGACGAGTGGAAGACATGTTCGGATGGGGGAGGGGATGGTAAAATGAGCAGAGTTGATGAATGGAATTTTTTTGGGTTGTTTGTTTAGACGTAGGTGAAACTTGATTTCATGTCTCATCTTCTAAAGTTGGTGGCGCTCGTGCATCATTGGCCCGAATGTCAAGGCTTATTGCAAAATAATTGAAAGGGTGTGTAACACGCATTTTACAGAGCATTTAGATTTTAATGCTTTCGGGTACAGCGGTTCCTACAGTGGACAGCCTAACATGTCATCAGGTTACAGGGTGGATTGACGTTTACCGTGTTGGGGAGTTTTTGAAAATTTATGGCATAACACAAAGTTAATTGTTTTTCATTTGGTATTAATAAATAGTCACTTTGCTAGTTCGGAATTATTTTTTGTAAAAATAATAATAATCTGGCCAGAAATAAATGTTGACCGTTTGTCTTTCGAGACTGTGTGAAGATGTGGGATTTTTCTTCTGCTAAATTTTAAAAAATGGAGACTTGGGACTCAAGTATAACTTAGTATGTTTGTTTGAGATAATCAATATCAAATGTGTCAGAACCATCAAAAGATTGTTTTTCTTTCAGGTACTATTGTCAGCGAAGTGGTTTATCTAGCTAACCCCCCCGCCCCCCACCCCGACACATGCCCATTTACCATTTTACTGTAAGTCAGAAGGGGAGGATAGCTTTTTATTCATCCTAAAATGTCATGTTGGCTATTTTACTTTCTAAGTTGGCAAAACGTAAGTCTTATATTCCAAATGTGTGGGAGAATGTGTCATGGTCTAATGCAGTGGTTCTTAACCTGGGTTCGATCGAACCCAAGGGGTTCGGTGAATTGGTCTCAGGTGTTCGACGGAGCTTCAGCCATGGAGATTAAGACACACCCAACTCAAGATGTCAATTAGTTATGACACTCCTGCTTGGCCATCGCTGGCTGCAGATGATCACTTTACGTTGCGTGTCCAATCAGTGCTGCGGGAAATTTAGTTCGCTCAGTAGTCACCGTGTGACTGTGGCGATAGTATGTCATACTATTTTATAAAAAATAGATATTTAGGCCTTGTAATTGTATTTCCTTTTTTTCTGTTTTAAATAAATGTGTTTTTTTTTAATTGTCTTGAATTTGTAAAAAATCGAATTTTTATTTTTCACTAATGAAGTGAACATGCATATGAACTGGTTGGGTTCAGTACCTCGATCAAGGTTAAGAACCACTGGTCTAATGAAACCAAGGATGAACGTTTTGGCCATGCAATGCCTTGAAAAAATATTCATACCCCTTGAAATGATGTGTCTTTCCAATCACAAACTTTATATATATATATATATATGCATTCCACTTCTTTAGTAATCGCCTTGCATTAACCCTTTCAGGGACAGCAGCCACTGCAGTGGACAGCTTCGCATGTTATCTTACCGGGTGCATGAACGGCTTCAAATTAACCGTGGGGATTGCGGGAGTTCTGTTTTGATGAATACGAAGACGAGGCACAATAAATAGGAACACCAGATATTTATCAAACTTTGCAAGACCTCGAAATAGGCTGTCAGATGTACACTTTAACCTGATACTTTTTTTTTTGTTGTTGCAATAGACAGGCGATTACTGGTGCATGCATGTTGTTGGATTCATTTATGATCGGCTTCAGGTAGAAGCACAAGAACACAAGAACGTTCACAATTTATGGCCCTTGTGACTTGCTGTTCGTAGGCGCTTACTGGCAGCCGCGCCTGCGGCAGCCTACAGTTATAGCTTTATATCTCCCGTAGTTTATCGCCACTAGAGTGTGAATATGGGAGCGCATGAATAATGTATCCATTGCGGATGCTTTTAATGTGTTATAGAAAAGTAACTAAATATGATACATTATTATTATATTATTATTTCGCAGATTTCATATCTTAACTGCTGCATGATGCAAAATTACCATAAATTTTCCTATACTGTCATCTAATGTAATTCAAAATACAGTACGATACTATTAAAATAAATTACAAGAGGTGCAGTGTAAAATAACAGTAAAATACTGACTGACATCTCTGCTGACAGCATTTGTGAAATCGTTGACAATGTACATATGTGCGTGTGTGTGGTCATCTTGCTCATCGAAAAAAATAAATAAAATGAAAACTGTTTCCGTTATCGGTTTTACATAAAATGTTTCGTTTTATTTAATTGGCTTCACAGTTCCTCATTTAGGGTTCAGTGAGGGTTAATAACTGCAGTTACACTGTGTATCACTGTCACCGTGGCCAAAAGTTTCATAGTTAGCTAAACATGTACGCCATCAT